TTTGTCCTCATTTTCCTAGGTGGGTGACACTAACTGGCCAAGAATCCAACTTCTCAAAGCCTCTTTCAACAAGGAGATTCTCTCCACCTAGGTCAAAATGACCCAATCATGAGTTAAAGCTAGCACAATCAATCATTCATGCTGAGTCTCGAAGTCAACTTACATTGATCTAATTGACAAGATTGGAAAAATACCTCAAATATTATATAAACATTCAATCAACACTATAGAATCAAGTTCTTACATCCTAACACACATCTAGACTAGGATTCACAATACCCAAGTGAGTAGGGAGGCTATTCCATAGCTAGGCAAAGGAAAAAAAAAAGAAAGAGGAGAGAAAGAACCACAAAGAGATGACAATCTTCCTTCCTCCTTGCTTGAATCTCCTTTGAGAGGTAATAATCTTCCCTCCTCTAGCTTAGGGCTAGCCCAATCTCCTTCTTCCTCCTTTGAATGTCACTTTCTCTCTCCAGGATAGGAAGAGGAAACCCTAATCTCTCATTAGAAACCCTTATTTATTCTGAAAATTAAAACCCTAGAAAAGCTCCTTCGTTCTCTCTCCCAGCAGCCTTCTTTTTGTAGAGCCCGATAGTCACTTTTCACGGCAAGAAGTCACAACCGTGACATTGGAGACTTGACCGTGATATTGGACCAAAACACAAGTCACTAGTGCGTTTTTGGTATGACATCATGGTCAACGGTAGATTTTCACGCTCAACAGACCGTGAAAACACCGAGGTCCAGTGAGAGAGAAAAACCTCCTGTTTCCATCAGACTTCACGCCCACTGGGCAATTGTCATGGTCGGCCCGTGACAATCACCTCTAAACCGTGAAAATCAATTTTTCTTCACTTTTTGGCACTTTTCGACTCCAATCATCCCGAAACTCGTCGTCAACCCTTCCACGCGAGCTAGAACTTTAAATATGACAAAAGAAGCACAACATAGCGTAAAATGTGTCGACGAATGATGAAATGCACATGCAAACTATGAGAAATGAGGGGTAAAATGTGTACAATTGGACCTGAATCACAAATCAAAGGGCACACAATGGATGAATCTCAATGTTTATTTGGCATCAACATATGAATCGTGACTTGAAATACCGGCATCCACCACAAACGACATTCCAATGCATTATGAACGTGCAAACGAAAAGTTCTCACCCTGTTCACAAATCAATACAAGTCTTGACAAAACCACTCACAAACCGCAATTAACCATGCATAGAGTTCAAGTCCAAAGAACAAACGAATGGGCGACATAGGTCCTCACCGGGATAAGATATGAACATGCAAAACATGAATGAATCACTCACTCTCGACCAGTGGGGCCAGGACCATTTGGTGCAAAAGATGTGCACAATTATCAACTTAGCCCTACTGTCTCTTCACCTCGGCGCAACCTCTAAATACTAGTGTTCACGGGATGGTTGTCGTCACTAGCTTGTTCGGAGGTCAAATGACTGGCAAGGGTCTTGGACATAGGGAAAAGGCTTTTTGGGTGGTGGCAAACATAGCAAGAGGTCCTACATCTTCAACCTAAAAACAAAGGTTCTAAGGTTTCGACTAGAACCTTTCCTACAATCAACGACCACTATCATCGACCAAAAATCACACTTTCCTTTTCCAAACAACTACCATTCTACCAATCACGAACTACCTTCAAGCACACTTCCTCGCCCTATATTGCTATCCACAATTCAATCATAATAGTGAACGAGGTCAACAAACAATTTACGTGTTTCAATGTCTTGAGTGCCAATAAACCCTTTCTAGAGCATACACTTAGGCTTTGTGGTAACTCTCTACTTTTATTTATCCCGTTTTATTACCACTTTTTTGATTCCTTTTTCTTTTCTACTTTACATTTCTTTCCGAGGGGGGTACTAGAGAGTTAAACATTTGTCAACTTAACACTTAACGAACAATGCTCTCTATTAAGAACTTCCTCCAACACTACCTTTTCTTTCCTATCAAGAACCGTGCAAAATCCTCCTATGTAGAACCTCAATGGAGCTCAAAAAGGGAAAGCTCCGGGACACAAGGACGACTCACGTTTTGACACGAAGAAAGGATGAGGGGTCGTTGATTCAGGCCTCATTGTACACTTTTTATCCTCGTTTGACTTTGACGTGTGTTGCAATTGAGCTCCAAAAAGGGGTGGTTTATGCTAGGTTTCTTGTGTTTTAGTGTGTTTCAGATTCTAACAGGTGAAACCAACCCCGGAGTCAAAATTTGGAAGCAAAGGAGAAAAGACCGGGCAAAGAGGAGGAATCAGCCTGTGTTCACGGTCTCCAGGACCGTGAACTGGAACCACAAGTCCACAACCCGTGAACCAAGAAGCGTTTAGAGGGGTTCTAAGGTTAGTGACGCCAAGGCAGTTCACGACCTCTAAGACTATGAACTGCAACCACAAACTGTGAACCCAGGAAATGAAGCGGTGCATTCTGGTTCATCACACTCTGTTCACGGACGCATTTTGATGTTCACGGTCGTGAACTGGGCGCGATCTCAGTATAAAGTGCCATAAAAAAGGAAGAAGAGAGAGACTAGTGTGAGAAACTTTTTCTTCTCCAGATTTATAGAGTGAGAAAGTGACAAACAAAAGAAGAGGAGAAGCTAGGGTTTCATCTCCAAGCAAGGATTTGGGAATTCCTCCCCCAAAGGAAGATCTCTTCAACACAAGGAGCAAGGCTAGCATCTCTTTGATGGTTTCCATTTTCCTCTCTTGTGTTTTGCCTTCTCCTAGCATGGAGTAGTCCCTCCTTTAACTTGGATGTTTGTAAACCCTAGCTACAATTATGTGAATGCTTGTATGAATTGAATGATTTGTGTGTGGTTGTGTTTAATGTGAATGTGGAGGTATTATTCATGAATGATTGTGTTGTGTGAAATCCTATCAATCTAATTTCCATTCTAACCTAGGTAGAGAGAAAACCCCCTTCCTTTCTTTGAAAGAGGCTTGAATGCTGGGTTTACTTGGGCAATTCGTTGTCTACTAGTTAGGTTAACGTAGGGAAATTAGCACCTGGGTTTGGTTGTGGGTGGCCGTTCGAACTCCAATTTGAGGTTGAAGTCTAACCATTCCTTAGTCCATAGGTCAAGAGAGTCACATAAGTGGCTTGGATCGTATCCCATTTCCTCGACCTCGAGACTAAGAGGATAGCTTTGGGTACTTATTAGACATCTCTGCGGTTTACAACCCCCTCAACACTCACGGACATTCGATCCTTCAAGTCGTAATTGCTAGCTAGGGGGAGCAACACACGGGTGAAGCCTTCTCAATTAGTATCAAAACCATTTTATCTTTGCAAGTACTTTAGCATTAGATCTTCCCAAAACTACAAGATTTTGTGCGTGGAGCTAAATCACAATGGGTTAGAATTAGTAACTTAGTTATGGAGATCAAATAGGAGAATTGCATGACCTTGTTCGCTGTATTAACTAAACATTTGAGGAATTTGGATTTGACTGGAAGGGGTAAAAGGCCAGCTTAACTAAAAGATGGATCAGGTGCCAAGGGTATTTTGTTTGTCGTGTATCATTTCATGATGGATGTTAAAGTTAGGTTACCTAAAGGCAATTGAGATGTCTATGAACACGATGAGCTTGGCAATCGGCTCCGGATAGCATAACAACAGGGGTATAAGGGTAACTGCACAATAATAACTGCACAATAATTAAATAATTGTTTTCTTTTACCTGGCATTAATTTTGAAATTCAAAAATAATAATAAAATTCATTGAAGCGCGCGTTGAGACATTTCAGTTTTCCGCTTTCCCCTTTCCCCTTTCCCCTCTGCTCACGAACTGCTCACGAACTGCTCTCCGACGGGACGTCTGCTTCGGTCTCCCTGTTCTCGCCACCAAATTTGCATCTGCATCGAGCGATTTCGTCTGCGGCTTGTGGATTTCCTTCGCGCGATTCTGTTTCCTTCGTCGCCGAAGTGAATTTCGAGGTATGCCGGTGATTTCCTCCGATAAACTGGAACTGTCTTCTCCTCCGTCGTCAGTTTTGGTCTGCGAAGTCGCCGTTGTCGTTTAGCGTCGCCGGAGTTCCACTTGTATGGTGTTAGTTTGGCGTCGCCGTTTTCGTTTTCGTTAGCATTGTCATTGCTTGCTTCTGCTATTGAATTTACCACCTTCGTTTTCATGTTTGCCCTCTGTTACTTTCGTTTTCCAGTTTTCTGCGATGTTTTGACGCATGCAGTCTAAATTTGTTGAAGGAGACGAGGAAATTTCATAGTTGTGCGTTCTGGTTAGGTTTTGTTGGATGTTTCTTCATTTTTGTGGTGTGCTTTGATTATTTTAGGGTTTCTGGTTTCTCATGAGTCGTTTGTGGTGTTGTTTAGTAGTTCTGTTGTTTTTTTTCTATATTTTGGTGGTGCGCTTTGTGTTTGGTGACAGTTAGTGTGTTTGTGGGTTGGATTGGGGCCTTTCTGGAGGGTTTTAATAAAACTATTGTGTATTTTAGGGTTTCTGGTTTCTCATGAGTCGTTTGTGGTGTGCTTTGTGTTTGGTGACAGTTAGGGTGTTTTGTGGGTTGGATTGGTGCCTTTCTGGAGGGTTTTAATAAAACTATTGTGTACTTTCAGGCTACTGTTGGTGGTTCTTTTAAAAGGTTTTGTGGTTTGTGTTTCGGATTTCACAGTTTGGTTTAGAAGATTTACTGGTGTGCATTTGCAGTTGTTGTTTGTCTCCTTTACATCTGATTATTGAGTCGTTTGTGGTGGTGTTCAGTAGTTCTGTTGTTTTGTTCTTTTTTTTTTGGTGGTGCGCTTTGTGTTTGGTGACATTTAGGGTGTTTGTGGGTTGGATTGGGGCCTTTCTGGTGTTTTTCCAGGGTGATGTTGGTGGTTCATTTGGAGTTGTTGTTTGTCTGCTTTAAATTTGATTATTGGATTGTTTTCATGGGTTTACAGTTTGCATTAGGCCCTTAATGGTTTGGATTTTATATGTTCTGGTATGAGATTGCTTATGTTGGTTTGTGTTTTGGTTGCTTTGTAGGCATGGCACCTGCTAAGAAACGTGCAGTAAAGGGGAAAGAAAAGGAAAAAGTTCCAACACCTAAGCAAGAGAAAGATGGTGCAGTAAAGGGGAAAGAAAAAGAAAAAGTTGCAACACCTAAGCGAGAGAAAGATGGTGCTTCTCCTGTGCCTGGAAAGCCGGATAAGAGGCATCGTAGTAATACTAATCGTATTCTTGGCATCATGGAAGCTGACAGTACAAGTGAAGAAAAACTGCAGATGCTTGATCCTCTGGGTTTTAGGGGTGTGTCGAGGGTTAAGCTTACGAGACTCCCGGATAATTTTATTGAATGGCTTTGCAAAAGCTTTGATGTGAGTTCAAGGTCTTTCCCGCTGCTACGGTCAGGGAAGTTTAGAATTGGAGAGGCAGATGTGGAGAGAGTCTATGGTTTGCCGCGTGGACCGTATGTTGTTAAGCTGGATATGTTCAGTGCAGCCCAGAGGCACAGGTGGGGAATTGAGTTAGGGCTTTCCAATACTAAGAAAGGAAAGGCGTCATTGGCAAATGTTAAACTGGCATTGGAAGAGGAGAGGGACAATAAGAAGTGGAGGGATCTTTTTGTACTGTATGCAATGGAGGCAGTTCTGTGTCCCAGTGGAAATTTGAAGATTAACCTCTCCTATGCTGGTTTTTTGCAAGATGAAATGGTTGCTGACTTCACCCAATATAATTGGTGTAAGCATGTGGCTGACCATTTTAATGACAGTATGGTTGAAGTGGTTCAATCAAAGTCAAAGTTCCCTGGTGACGTTCATCTTCTTTTTGTAAGTGAATAAATATACCCCTTTTCGAATTTTGGTTTACTGTTTCATTTATGGTTTGTTTATTGACGAATGTGGTGTGGTTGAAGATGTTTATGGTTTGTTTAAGAGTTTTAATGGTTTGCTTTTGCCCCCCCCCTGTGTTATAATGTTTCTGGTATTGTTTTTCATTTATGGTTTGTTTATTGACTAATGTGGTGTGGTTGAAGATGTTTATGGTTTGTTTAAGAATATTTATGGTTTGCTTTACCCCCCTTTGTTATAATGTTTCTGCTATTGTTTATCATTTATGGTTTGTTTATTGACGAATCTGGTGTGGTTGAAGATGTTTATGGTTTGTTTAAGAATATTTATGGTTTGCTTTTGCCCCTCCCCCCCTGGTTGTGTGGTGTGTATTATAATCTTTCTGGCACAGTTTGTTTGTGGTTGCTTGACTTCTGTCTGTTTGTATATGTGGCAGATTTCGATTCTTGACCGTGTGAAGAACCCCCCTGAGCTGCCCATACCGACCTGTAAGCATAGGTCGTACAAAGTCGCAAGTGCTGCTTTTCAAGTACTGATGGACGAAGGTCATCTCAATATTGGTCATCGAGATGTAGTGATGGAAGAAGAAGCAACCTCCAGTCAACCAATGGGACGAGAACGTGTGCTGGGTTCAAAGAGGAAAAGGCCGGTAGATGATCTTGATATGGTGAGGGAAGGGGATCTTCCGAAGCTTCCCCATCTTGACCTCAACTTGGATGGTGTTCATTCGGTTGAAGAAGTGAGTGATTTTTTCTGTGTTATTCGTTTTATGTCTTTCTTTAGAGTACTTTCAGTGTGCTTTACAAGTATAGTGGTTTGCATTAGTTTGTTTACGGAATACTTTATTTTATTCATGTGCTGGTTAGTTGTGTTTTCTGTTGTTTGTTCTTTGGCTTGCTTTAGTGTACTTGTGGTTTCTATTAAAAGAATAGTGGTTTGCATTACTTCGTTAAAGGAATATTTTATGGTACTCATCGTTTGGTAGGTGTTTTTCTGTGAGAACTCAAACATATGTGGTTCGTATAAGTGTGTTTTAGGTGTTCATTAAAAGGAATGTGAGATTCTTTAGAAGGTTTATGGTTTGCTTTTGGGCTGTTCAGTAACTTTGGGCTGTTTTCGTGTTTTTGTAGGCATATCAGTTGAAGAATGACATGGAAAGTTATAAGAGGGCTTTGTTGAGGATGGCTGCTCATTACAGTTCGAGCATTGAACAAGTTGATGATCATATAAAGATGCTGGAGGGGCAGCAACCAGAGGATAGTCCTGAAGATAATGTCGATTTCACTGATAGAGTTGATGATGTTTCTGTTGCTAAGGGAACCAATGATGTCGGTCGCAATGCATCTGCTGCCAATGCTGATGATGAGACTGGTGCTAACAGTCCAAAGTCCCCGGGTCTTGATGATTTGTCAATGGAGATGGATAAGGATGGTGCTGGTAGTGTTGATGTTGTGGTGCCAGATGTTGGTCACAATGATCCTGCTGGCACTGCTAATGATGATACCTCTCCTAAGGGAGTGTTAGATTCGGAGGGACTTGATGATCATCTTGATAATCTGACAATGGAGATGACACAAAAAAGTGTTGATTCTGAGAATGCTAAGAAGGTGATGGAGATGGACAGCTGTGAGGAAAAGGGACAAGGTGATGATGGAGATGACAATGTTGATGCTGCTAAGTTGGATAACTTGGTTGAGAAGGTCGTAAAGGTATTTTTACTGTTTTGTGTTTGAATATTTGTGGTGTGGATTATACTGTTTTTGGTTTGTTTGTCATGTCTTTTGTAGTTGGTTGTTTTGCATTTGTTAGTGGTGTGGTTTACATATATCTGGTTTTGTTAAACACTTTTGTGGTTTGGTTTCTGTAGTCTGCTATGGGGGATGTTTGTGAAGATGTGGTGGTTGATGAGAAAAGGAAAGAAGCTGATTCTGAGAATGCTAAGAAGGTGATGGAGATGGACAGCTGTGAGGAAAAGGGACAAGGTGATGATGGAGATGACAATGTTGATGGTGTTGATGCTGCTAAGTTGGATAACTTGGTTGAGAAGGTCGTAAAGGTATTCTTACTGTTTTGTGTTTGAATATTTGTGGTGTGGATTATACTGTTTTTGGTTTGTTTGTCATGTCTTTTGTAGTAGTTTGTTTTGCATTTGTTAGTGGTGTGGTTTACATATATCTGGTTTTGTTAAACACTTTTGTGGTTTGGTTTCTGTAGTCTGCTATGGGGGATGTTTGTGAAGATGTGGTGGTTGATGAGAAAAGGAAAGAAGCTGATGCCGGTGAGGTGCTTGAGGGTGGTGATGGTCGTGGAGATTTAACATTGAGTCAGCTAGTTAGGGAGGGAAAGGTAATTTGTTATACAAAGGTAATTTGTTGTACTATGTTTCAGTTTTGGTTTGTGTTAGTTGTTTTTAGTGTTGTTTTATCTAATTTGTGGGTTGCTTTAAAAATCAGAAAAAATTTAAAGTGAAGAATGCAGGAAGCTCATCCGGTGTTGATATTGATGTGTTGAAGGGTGCTGTGTTGCGATATGCAAGGGATTCGAATAACTTGTAAGTTAATGTGTATAGATTTCATACATATGCGGTTGTTTGTATATATTTTTTTATATAGTGCTTATTAGTACTTTTCTAATGCCGACTGTTTTGTTTGTAATGGATTATGAAAAATAGGAAGGAAATCCTTTTCAGTCGCGTTGATGGATTCGATTGCTTGTATAGAAAGGACACAGAGACTTTGGCACATGGGAAATGTGTGAGTGTGGATGTTATTGACTGCTATGCTGCCTATCTGAATCGGGAGCAAGTGAGAAGAGGGCAACTGAAAAGATGGGTGTTCTATTCAGGGCTGGCGGTGAGTTACATTTTCTGCTAGTTCTGTTTTGTTTTAGGGTTTTTGTGGTGTGCATTATAATAGGTCTGGTTTGGTTTAAGGGTTTTGTGTTGTGCATTATAAGACGTCTGGTTTGCTTTAGGGTTTTTGTGGTGTGCATTATAGTACTTCTGGTTTGTTTTAGGTTTTTTGTGGTGTGCATTATAATACGTCTGGTTTGTTTTACTGTGTTTATGTTGTGTTCTACCTTGTAGCAAAGAGTGCAGGGGATAGTGAAGAACGAAGGACCACTGCCTAATTTTTTTGAAGAGACTGATGAAATTATTACAAGTTGCAAGTGGATACCAGATGGTTTGGATTTCTCACAATGTGATTATGTATGTATTTTTTTAGTCAGATTTGCTAGATTGTTTCATGTGTGTTTTTTCTTCATTGTGCTTTTGGAGTACTGACTTGTTTTTGTTCTGCATGCAGTGGATGTTCCCCCACTGTTCTGATGACCACTACAGGATGTATGTAGTGAATCTGAAGAACAAACGGTATGATTATCTTGACAGCCTTTACCCTGACGACCTTGATTCCAAGTTTCGTGCTGTTGCGGATATGGTGGTCCGCTATGCCACAGAATACATTCCTGCCTGCAGAAAAGAGCCCTTCAAATTTGAAGAATTCAAGTGGGTTAGACAGCGAGGGGTGAGACAACGTGGTGGGATTGACTGTGGTGTTTTTACTATGAATTTTGCTGAGTTTTGGGATGGCAAACTGCATCCAGCTATGAGGAATTGGCAAAGACAAATCAATCAGAGGCGGGATGAGATCACATTAACATTGCTGCTGAACAAGGAGAACAGTGTACTTGAAGAGGCGAAGAAGAAGAGTTTGGAGTTTGATCGCAAGGTGGACTAGCTGATTTTAGCATGCATTTGCAAGAACAGTTTCAGATTTCAGTGTGTTAATATGTGTTTTAGTGTGTTAATGGTGTTGATTAAGAGGATTTGTGTTCGTCGTGTATGGTGTGTATTATAAGACAAGTGGTTTGTGTTAATACATAAGTGGTTTGCTTAATGAGTGTTCTGAAAAGTTTCCATATGTTTGTGGTTTGGTTTTGTTAAGAGGTTTCGAAGTTTGTTTTCTTTCCTGTATGGTGTGGTTTGTAGTGTTTATGGTTTGGATTAGGTGGTCTGTGGTGTGGATTGTAGCGTTTTTGGGTTGGTTTAGGTGGTATCTGGGTTGTTTAACCTTGTTCGGTGTGCATTGTGGTGTTTATGGTTTGGATTAGGTGGTCTGTGGTGTGGATTGTGGGGTTTTTGGGTTGGTTTAGGTGGTATCTGTGGTTTGTTTAACCTTGTTCGGTGTGTATGGTGGTGTTTATGGTTTGGATTAGGTGGTCTGTGGTGTGGATTGTGGGGTTTTTGGGTTGGTTTAGGTGGTATCTGGGTTGTATTCAACTGTATCTGTGTTGATCAAATATTATCAAAAACCTGCAACTGTTCATATTTGTCTCATAGTTGTCATTGAAATCTAAAAGTTTATGACAGAAAAAAAACACGGATAACAACAAGGAAACTAATCACTCATTGTTGCTTGTTGGCGGCCTGTTCATCAATTCTTTGCTTTCTAGCCCTCTCCAGTGCTACCTCAAGTCCACCTCTTGGCCTCTTCTTTGATTTCCATGGGTCTTTTCGAGCCTTGAATCCCTTCACATTGGCATACTTGTCATTTGTAGCTGAAGCAGCAGCGCTTTGTGAGGGTGATGTATTGGTGGTTCCATCTGTTGAAAAAGCAATATGCAAGATACTGGTGAACATAAGTAGGGATTAAGCAATTAGTGGATTGGATTAAGATGTTTATGGTTTGCATTAGATCATTTGTGGCTTGGATTAAGCAATTACTGGTGAATATAAGTAGGGATGCTAACAAGATGTGTGAAATTACCAGGTACTGTTTGCTGAGTTTCTTGAGTCTGAAGGCTTTGGAAAGCTAGTTTAGTGAGCTCTGCAATCTTCTCCTTAACCATTGAGAAGACCTTGTCATTCATTGAGACTTTTGTTGCTAGGATAACCATGCTAGCACACAGTTCTTGATACCTCCCTGCATAAGTATCTGTTGCAGCACATTCTGTTGTGTTTATTGTGAACTTCTCTCCAGATTTGGCATCTCTCGTCCATCGTGGCAGAATGTATTCCTTAGGGATAGTCAATTGCTCAATATCATCACCATTGAATCCAACCATCTCTATCTGCCTGATTACATGTCTGCACAACCAGCCTGAACTTTCAAACAAACGACATGAGCACTTGTATTTCTTCTCCTCTTTGTTCACTAACACGACTCTTTTGCCGAATCCTCCTAGTTTCTTCACTTCATAAGCTGTCATTCCATCTCTATCCATAGATTCATTCCGGAACACAAAAAAAGCAAGGCTTTCTGAATACTCCTCAAGGAAAGAACTGTAGATCTTAGTTGTGTATAATTTTGCGACTTGCTGAACAAGTGGGCTTCTGTCATACCTGTTGGAAGATGACATACAACATACAATCATTCATAAAACATCTTGTCTACATTAATGATTTTATGGTATGTATTGTACTGTTTGTGGTGTGGATTGTGGTGTTTATGGGTTGTATTAGGTGGTCTGTGGTGTGGATTGTAGGGGTTTTGGGTTGGTTTAGGTGGTATCTGGGTTGTTTAAGCTTTTGCGGTGTGCATTGTGGTGTTTATGGTTTGGATTAGGTTGTCTGTGGTGTGGATTGTAGGGGTTTTGGGTTGGTTTAGGTGGTATCTGGGTTGTATTCAACTGTTCTGTGGATGCATTCTACAGTATAAAAAGTTCAAATAAAGGAAGTAATACGTACATGTTGTTTGGGACTGTGTTTGCCATTTGATAATCCATGTCCATTTCGTCTGATCTTTTCCGTTCGAGCAACTTGTTGAAGTATGTGAAGAACTCAACTAGGTTGTCATCTGGTTGAAGGTAGTTTCGGAGGTTGCTGTTACAAGACTCACTCAGCTGTGAGCTTCGCATACCAGCTGTGAAGTGGTCCTTAATCCATGCTGAAGACCACTGTTTTCTCACCTTGTAAATTGAATCCAACCAGTTCCTTGGATTGGTGCCTTCTTCTGGATAATATGTGTCTAGCAACCTTGACCAATTGTACTCAAATTCTTCCTCATTTTCTACTCCAAAAGTGACATATTGTAGATCTTCTAGAATGTTTGTGTTTGTGGTGTCGAGATGCTTCATTGCATTCTGCTTTATATGAAAAGTACACAAGCCATGGAATGCTTCAGGAATGACGGATCTAATCCCAGCGGCGATTGCAGCAGCTTGGTCGGTGAATATTGATGTTGGTCGGCTGCCTGACATACATTTCAAGAATGCATCGAACAACCACTTGAATGTAGCGGTTGTTTCATCATATAGGAGAGCAGCCCCGAAGATGCAAAGTGCACGATGGTGGTTGAAGCCAACAAACAAAGCTGTAAATTAAAAATAAAAAAAAGAACAACATAGAATTAAACATTGAAACAAACAAAGGCTGTCTTTTTTGATATATATGGTGTGCTTCAGGACGTTTTTAGTATGGTTTAGGAGGTTTGTGGTATGCATTGCGTAATGTTTGGTTTGCATTCAATTTCGAAATATCAAGAAAATTATCTAGTGCAAGGAATCCTTCTTAATGCAAACCACAAACCTTTTAATGCACACCACAAATCTTATAAAACAGACCACAAACCTCACAAAGCAAACCACAACATTTGCGGAAGCAGACCAGAAATCTATTAATGCAAACCACAAACCTCACAAAAGAAACCACAAACCTCACAAAGAAAACCACAAACCTCACAAAGCAAACCAGTGCAAGGAATACTGACCTAGTGGACGATAATTCTGGTTTGTCCTGTATGTGGTGTCGAAGCTGATCGTATCTCCGAAGCAACTGTAGTCAAACCGCATTCTTGCATCAGCCCAGAATATACTTGCAATATCTTCGTTACTATCTACCTCAATTTCATAGAAGAATGATGGATTCTTGTAAGCTTCACGGCGAAAATGTGTAAGAAGTATAGTTGCTTCGCCTGGTTTCATTGATTTCTGCCTTGTCCCTGTGATATAGTTCTTCAGATCATGAGGGGTAAAAGGTACATTCTCCCTCCCCCCTGAAGTTGTGGTGAACAACTCATATGATTTCCGTAGTGAAACTCCACAATCTGCATGCACTTTTGCGACCATTGCATGCATTTCTGAGATCCCCTTGTTCGACCTCAAGAGATGTTTGAATTTTGGAGGGAGGAGATCATGGTTGTGTTCTGTTATCCACTTGTCCAGCAGCCATTCATCCTTCTCGATATCATATCTGAATTTGATTATAGCTGGGCAGCCAACTCTAGTTTCTGGTACAGCACGTTGATAAGCCTTCACATCTATTGATCCTTTATTCTTGGGATTTGACTTGCTTGTGGTCTTGTATCCTTCTTTGCTGCAGCAATACCTAGCATATCGTGCTGTTTTGGTTGGCTGTCTTTTTGTAGAACGTTTGACAGCTCCCATGTCCCTCACGCTGAAGCCAAGGTCGTGAGCATAGTTCTTGTAGAATTGTTTTGCTTCCTCAATGGTTTTGAATGCCAACCCCAAACTAGTGTAGTCTGACTCGGACCTGTTTGATGTCACACCTGTAAGCAATGATGAAAGAAATGAGCACTTGATCATTTCATCTTGCGATAATTTTTGCTAGAAAAGTGTAAAGTGGTTTGGGTTGTAGTTATTCATGATGCTTTTATGACATTTATGGTTTGCATTACAGTGTATGATTTTTTTTACAAACAGATTGGGGAATGTAACGATTAACGTTTTAATGGTGTGTATTGAAGGTGTTTTGGTGCGTTTAAGAAGTATTGTGGTTTGTTTTGGGAAGAATGTGGTGTGTTTGGCGATGCTTTTGGTATCGTTTGTGGGATTTTTGTGGGCGGTTTAATGATTGCATCTTGCAATGATATTTGCTAGAAAAGTGAAAAGTGGTTTGCATTGTAGTTTTTTTTTTTTTTTTTGATCAAAGTTTGCATTGTAGTTATTCATGAATCTTTTATAACATTTATGGTTTGCATTACAATGTGCTTTTTTTACAAACAGATTGCAGAATGTAACGATTTAGGTTTTAATGGTGTGCATTGGAGGTGTTTTGGTGCGTTTAAGAAGTATTGTGGTTTGTTTCTAAAGTGTTTTGGTTGATAGTCTCTTTTTTTCCTGTGGTTTGTTTTGGGACGAATGTGGTGTGTTTGGCGATGCTTTTGGTATCGTTTGTGGGATTTTTGTGGGCGGTTTGATTGGTAGTGCTTATGATATGGTAAATGGCTTGTATAAGCGTGATTGTGGTGCTCATTGTAAGAAAACAGGAAGGATTGAGTTGAGCGTACCTTCTTCTTGTTCATTGTTGCCACTGTTAGTGGAAATAGAGGTTTCCAGCTGATATCCAACTTCTGTTGCATTTTCAGAAGATGTTGCAATTTGCAGGAGTTGTTGAGCATCTACAGAACCAACAGAAACTTCATCTACACGATTCTCGTCCATCGTCAATGTCTTAGCTGTGATCAGGAGTTTGCTCAGCCGTCGCCGCCGTTGCTGTAGCTGCTGCGATCAGATCTCGTCGCCGTTGCGTTGCCGCCGTTGCTGTAGCTGCTGCGATCAGATCTCGTCGCCGTTGCTGTAGCTGCTGCGATCAGATCTCGTCGCCGCCGTTGCTGTAGCTGCTGCGATCAGATCTCGTCGCCGCCGTTGCTGTAGCTGCTGCGATCAGGATCTCGTCGCCGCCGTTGCTGTAGCTGCTGCGATCAGGCTCTCGTCGCCGCCGTTGCGTCGCCGC